CACATTCTGACAACCACCTGTATGCCAATCTAAGGCCCACCCTCAGTCCTGCCTTACGTGGTCTGTGCCATGAAGTCATCATAGAGACAGCGCTGGCGTTTGGAGAGCCGGCAGCGGATAACATGCTCATACTTTTTGGGCATCTGCTTCTCAACATCCACCTTAACTCGACGCAGCAAAAAAGGCCGCAAAACCTGTAAGTGAAGAAGCAGGAGGTTTTCTGGAGAACAGTGGGCTCTAAGTCCCAGTCTACTGCTCTCAATGACTGGCTGAGAACTGGCTGAACCCATCATCAGCAAATAATCATGGAGTTATGAGGCATACCAGATACCAACCACACAAAGCTGAGTGAGATGCAAGGCCTCCTCTCAAGGAACTTACTGTCTGCTTCAGCAGACACAGAGGTAACTGTACCACAACATACAAATTGATTAGAGGAAGCACTGAGTAAACCAAATAACTATGCAGCAAAGACGACTCAAATGACATTCCAAGGAGTGGCAGGCACTAAGTTTACAAGACTATAAAAATAAATCCAGGAAAGAAAGCTGTAAACAGAAAAATTATGATCTTGGGTCTTGTAGCATAACTCAGCTATAGTGAGTCCTCAGCATACACAAGGTCCTGAGTTCAGTTCCCAGCACTAATAATAATTGCGTCTGGGGACGTATTTCAGTGGTACTATGCTTGGTTAGCAAGTGCAAAGTCCTGAGTTTTATTCTCAGCACCAAAACAGAAAAATGTGGCCTTGAGAGAATAGAAAAGGTATATTTATAATCTACGGATATAAAATCCTGTAAGACATAGTATTCAGTACCCATAGAAACATGGAGGAAGTGAAGGGAGGTAAATGAAGAAAATACACTTGTTAAAGAAGACTTTCTGGTTTCTACCTTGGTTTTAGCAAATGATGATACAGCTAAAAAAGATGGGAGCTATAAAACCAGATTGTTGTTTCAGAACTAACAAAGATAGCGGGCGGGGAAGAGAGTGAATTCAAAAGGAACTTTCAGGGATAGCAAGGTAGCCCAGTGGTAGAGCACTTCCTAATACGTGCAAGACCCTGGGTTTCAATCCCTAGCACCACAGAAATTTAAGAAAAAGAAAAAAAAAAAAAAACAGCAATTTTCAATTAAAGGTATTAAATCAGAAATTAGAATTCAAGCCAAATGATCTAGAAACTCAAGGGATTACCAATTCAAAGGAAGGTGTCATTATCACTTAGGAAACAGCTAAAACCCCTGGGAATAAGGATGCCTGAGAGATACACAGATTGAGAAGACAAAAAAGTAAAACCCAGAATGTTGAAAGATCTTTCAGCCCTACCTTGTGGAGTCGTTTGACTAGACCCTCATTATACTCTTGGCTGCCCTCAATCATGCCCGTTAGGGGGTTAGAGAACCATTCTTTGAACTCTCGATGAGACTGGAAGACATGGGGCATCAAAAAGTGCATCAAGGACCACAGTTCCATGAGGCTATTCTGCAAGGGTGTGCCTGTGAGAAGCAGGCGCCTCTGGCTGCAAAGAGAAGTAATCAGGAGGATGGTTACCAAGGGCCCAGCCTTCCAAACATCCCTGCTCACCCCACACTAGCCCTCCAATGAATCCCTGTCTCCATTTATACCTGTTGAAGTTCAGCAGTGACTGCCAGCGCTGAGATTTAAAGTTCTTGATGTTCTGAGCCTCATCCAGAATGAGATAGCGCCAGTTCTTGCGACGGAAGGCCTGATGGTCCTGCAGCACCAGCTTGTAAGATGTGATACACACATGGAAGGCATTGGGCTTGGTCCAGCCCTGAGGGGTGAAAGACAGAAAGCCAAAGATAGTAGGGTAAAGCCGACATGGTGACCGCCTGAAATCTAAACATTCTGGATAGACTATAAAGCAGGAGGATCTCAAGTTTGAGCCCAACACATGGGCAACCTACCTAGACCTTGTCTCAAAAAGAAATAAATAGCCAGGCGCAGTGGCACAGACCTATAATCCCAGCACTTGGGAAGTTGAGGCAGGCAGATTACCAAGAGTTCAACGTTAGAGTGGGCTAAATAGTGAGTTCAGGACAAGCCTGAACTACATAGCATGACCTTGTCTCAAAAACAAAACGGACTGGGGATTTAGCTCAGCGGTGCTGCCGCCGGCCTCAAAAATGCAAGGCCCTGAGTTCAATCCCCAGTACAGACAGGAAGGCAGGCCCAATAGCAGAGGCTTTGGGTTCAATCCCTATAACCAGAAGGGGAAAAGAAAGCACTGATAGTGGGGAGAAAAAAATAGCGTAAAGGGAGACATATTAAGATCCTCCAGGTAAAATATAGCATTAGAAGAAATGAAAACATTTCAGCAGAAGGGAGCAACAAGAACATAAGGAAACAAACATCTGATGAAAGAGCCTAAAAACAGAATTTGAGTGACATCAATGGGTTAATGTGACCACATGAACAATCGAACCTGCCGCTTGAGCTTCCTCTCTTTCTGGGCTCCATAATAAGTAAGGATTTTAAAGCTGGGGCACCACCGTTTCAACTCCATCTCCCAGTTCAACATCACGCTGGTAGGAACAATGATTAAATGGGGACCCCAGTTGCCTGTTTAACAAAGAAATGAAACATAGTAAGGGTATGTGAATTTTCGTTCCCTGACCACCATCTCCTATTAATGGCTCTAAGAATCCTAGCACCTACACTACCTTCCAGGAAGAATTACTGACTGAAGATGTCAGCAAGAGAGCAAGTATTTCATCTTACTACAGGTGGAGTCACCACTGAAACCGTTCCCCAGGAAGTAGACAAAGAATGGTCCTGCCACCTATTTACCTTTCTCACAGGCCAAATGAGCAAGCAAGGAGATGGTCTGGATAGTCTTCCCTAGCCCCATCTCATCTGCAAGAATGCCATTAAGTTTTTTCTCATACATAGTAACCAGCCAGTCAAGCCCAATATGTTGATATTCCCGAAGCTGACCCCGCAGGAGGAGGGGGATGGGTGTCTTCACCTGATGGGGGGAAAAAAATTGTGGTGGAACTAAGACATTGGACACCAGAAACTATAAAGCTAAGATAAAAGCAGAAGCTGGGGCCTGAGGATACCTGGGTAGTGGCCAAGGTGTATCCCTTGGGCTGGAGACTTTCAGCAGCTGCAGCAATGTCAGTAATTTCTTTCTTAGGACCTAGAGTGGTGGTGGGCCCTGGGGTAGGAGGACCACTCCCTCCATCTGCCTCACTCTGTCCTTCATCCCGGGCAAGCAAGTACTCCACCCCAAAATCATCATCTTCCTCTTCCTCATCTGCTTGGCTCTGTGATTGGGCATCCTCAGATTCATCAGACTCAGATTCCTCTGACTCTGAAGTGCCGCTTGTTTCTTCCTCTTCTGAATGCTCATCTTCTTCATCCTCGCTCTGCTCCTGAGCAGAGTCTAAATCATAAGACCAAGGCTTAGTGCTCACCATAGCTGCTCTGCCAACACCTGCCCTCCCCAGTTCCTGCCTAGGACACACAGTCACCTGAATGGCTGCTACTCTCCTCATGAGGAGGCTCTTCACCTTCTGTGGCCCCCTCTGGCTCACACTCAGAACTGTCAGCCTCAACTTCATCTTCATCTTCTTCACTACTCCCAGATCCTGGAGCAGAAGCATCAGAGGCATAGGCTCCTGCATACTGCTGAAGTAGCTCCTCCACAGACAACTCACCTGGTAGGGAAATGAAGGAGGGAGAAGGTGGAGAGGAGCTGCAAGATGCCAGCTCCTATTTATCTAGGTCTTGGAAGACACTACCATGCCGAGGAGTAAGGGGAGACCAGAGTTTACTTTTTAGCATTAGCTACCGAAACCAGCCCCACAACTTGGGCTAAAACCAAGGAAAGTGGTACACTCTGCTAAAAAGGACATCACCAGTCTGGTGAACCTCCTTTTCAAGACTCAAGTGGAATACTGCCAATATCCTTTCAAGAGAGGGCATTCGTGAGGCTTAAATCCAAGGGTGCATTACCACTTAATTTTGAAACAGGATCCTGCTAAATTGCCTGAGCAAGCCTTGAATATGCATGCAATCCTCCTGCCTTAGGCTCGAGTCCCTGAAATTACAGTGTCAGGTACTAATAATTACATTATTAGCACCCTCCGCAGTACCCATATTCTATTAAGCTTCCACCTCACTTTGTCCAAACTTCCACCAGAAGCACTCATCATTTCCTACTTATTAGTTCTTTTTTTCTGGTACCAGGGATTGTTTTCAGGATCTTGTGCTTTGAGGCAGGCACAATGTCACTGAGCTAAATCCCCAGCCCTGTACTTGTAAATTCTTAAAGAACTTATTCCCAAGTCTAACACCTGTCATTACACTCATTCCACCAGAGGTGATGTCACTTCTCTATCCCTGGCACTCTGTACAGAGGAGGCGCCAAATGGATGCTAAGTAAAATATCTGATGTGTGTCACCTTCTCGAGCCAATTCACTCAGCTCCATGGCGTGATCCACCTCGCCTTCCAACTGTTCTTCAGCTGCTATGGTGTCTTCTTCATCCTCAGCTAGGAAAAAGAAGCAGCAGGATCAATGGGGACAATGACATAGAACGCACTCCAAAAGAATAAGATGGGAAAGCCTAAAAGGTTAGGGCCAAACAATTAATTCTAGGGGTAAGGGACAACCAGATAAAGTAAACAGGCCTGACCTTCATCCTCATTAGCAGTAAACTCTTTATCATCTTCATCTGGATGCCAACGCTGTTTGTTGTGCGATGCAACAGATGAATGTGGAGGCTTCACCTGTATGGCAAATAATGAGAAGTGGGAATTTATGGTGTTTTTGTTTTTTGAGATAAGGTCTTGTTACATAGTTCAGCCTGGCCTTAAACTCACTATGTAGCCTAGGCTGGCCTCAAACTTGCAGCAATCTTCCTGCCTCCCCTCCCCAAGTGCTGGGATTATAGGCATGCATCACCACACCTGGTAGCACCTAAGGTTAGAGAAGCAGGAAGGCATAATGTTGACAAATAATCACAAAATGGTGTCTGTCCCACTGAGTGACAGCTGCCACTGGTATAATACCTGGGCAAGAATGCAATCAAGGTTTTCTTTCAGCACCAGCTACCAAATCCCGGCCCCACTGTCTAGGGGAGGACCTGTGAAAGTGCTAAGTAAGAAATAAAGGCCTCCAACATACGCAAATATATATTTAAACAAAGAGAGCACAGAAATTCTGAGGAGACATCGAGGTGACCATTCCAGCTCCCAATTTAAAAACCAATAGAAGAATATTAAGGTCATTTTGCCAAAGTGACAAGTAAGGGTTAAAACAAGATCACACAGCAAAAGTACAGCTGGTCCAATGCCGTATCACTGTAATTCTAGCTACTCAAGAGACAGGAAGATGGTTAAGCCTAAGGCCAGGTAACTTAATTAAATCCTGTCTCAAAGGTGAAAAACAAAAATGGCTAGAAATGTAGCTCAGCATTCCTTGGGGTACCCAGTACCCTCCACCCTAAACAAAAGAAAATCACAGTACTCTTGCTACAGCAGACATTCTATCAAGTGTAAGCTACAAGTTTCCCAAACCCAAATTTTTCCCCAGCTATCCCCAAAATGACAGTCCCAACTCTCCTTAACATGGGAGGACTCAAAAACCACAGCCAACCTTTCAAACAGGACTCAGACCTGAACCTCCCCATCTTTTCCCACCTTGAGGCCTCTCTCCACCTCTTGCCTATACCTTCAAAACCCTCGAAGGTTCCTCTTCAACACTTTCCTCAGGCCCATCTCTGGTGTCACTGTCATGGGAGGAGGTGGTCTGAGAGGGGCTCAAAGGCCCTCCCAGCAGCTGAGGAGGGAGGGAACGGATCAGCTCTTCCAGGGGCAGTTCTCCCTCATGTCGAAGCAGCTCAATCTCACGCCTCTGGGTCTCTGCATCATTGCCTTCCTGTTGTTCTTCAACCTCAATGGTCTCCTCATCATCCTCCTCCTCCTCTTGGGGTTGGAAGTCCCCATCTATAGCAGGAGAACAAGGTCACAAAGTCCACGGGCCCTGCAAGCCACAGGGTGGATTTTTCAGCTCTGGAATGGGTACATAGGGAAGAGTAACAGAGCCCAAGAGAACACACACCTTCATCATCCATCCTGGAGGCAGGGGGTAGAGGACTGGAGGCAGCAGAGGAAGAGCCAAGGCAAGGGGAAGAGCCAGCTTTGCTGGAGGCTAGTGGTTGGTTGAGGCTTTGAGACAGAAGGTCTGAGTACTTTTCAGTTTGACCCACAATGAAGTCCAGGTGCAGGTCCAAGGCTTTTTTGCGCTTTTCCTCAAGGCGAGACTGCTGCTTGAATTGTACCACCTGCCATAATGATGAAAGGAATAAATCACAAAGATGACTTTATTTACATACTTTTACCCAATGTTTAACATGTTCCCACTGGTTCGAAATGCCGTGCTACATGCATGACTATCCCATCAGGAGGCTTGAACAACCAGTGGTTAGCTATTTACCATCAGACCACAGAATTCAAATCAGAGCCATCCAGCAGTGAGACATACAAGCCACATCCCTGTTATGAATGTCAAGGGAGTTGTCCGTTAAGTCAGGCCTGAGGCTGGCCATTCATGAGGGAAGAACTAAATAATTTTAAGAGATGTGTAATTTAACAGGGTGCTTCTGTGGAAAGCAAAAAGGGAAAAAAGGAGAGAAGAACCAGATTATAGCTTGGAATGATTTGCAACTGCATTTGAAGCTGGATCTTAAAAAGTAAACAGGTGGTAGGCCAGGGATTTAGCTCAGTGGCATCAAACCTTGCCTCACAAGAACAAAGTCCTGAGTTCGACCCCTGGTACCAAATAAATAAATAAATAAATATGTGAGGCTTGGAGTGTAACTCAGTGATAGAGAACTTGCCTATCATGCACAAAATCCTAGATTTGATCCCTAGCACAGCAAAATAAAAAAGAAGAAAAGAAAACAAATCCAGGCATGGTAGTACACACGTATAATCCCAGCACTCAGGGACCCAACCTGTGACTAAAAATGTTTAAAAAAGTGTAGAGATACACAATAGTAAAATGAGGACTCAGTATACACAAGGCCCTGGGATTTATCCTCAGAACAATAAATGAATAAACAAACTGCAGCCAGATGTGGTGGCCTACACCTAAGGACCCACCTACTAGGCTGAATCCAGTTCAACATCACCTTTCTTAACACAGCAAGACCTCATCTCAAAAAAACAGCAATGGGAGCTGGAGCTAACTACATGACTCAGTGGCAGAGTACTTGCCTAGCATGCAGAAGGGCCTGAGTTTGATCCCCTGCATGACAAAACAGAGCCAGGGATTTAGCTCAGTAGTTCCGCTACCTGCTTCGCAAACACAGATTCCAAGTTCAATCCCTAATTCCCCCCCAAAACAAAACAAAACAGAAAAACGACAAAACAAAATGCACCTGTACTGAACAAATACAAGACTTTTTCCTCACAGTTATCCCTTACACAATACAGTTATTAACACAGCACTACACTGCATCAGGTAATACCAGTAATCTAGAGATAATTTAATGTTGTGTGTAGATTATCAGTTAATATGTCATTTTACATATAGGACTTAGCATCACCAGATTTTGATGCCCACAGGGAGTCCTGGAATGAACCTCCCATGGACAATGAAGAACAGTAGTACTTAAGAAATACTGAGGTGGGGATTTGGCTCAGTGGTTCCACCGCCTGACTCGCAAATGCAAAAGCCCAAGTTTGATCCCCAGTACCAAAAAAAAAGAAAAGAAAAAGAAATATTTACAACTTTACATGTGGCCAATGGGAAGTTTGATGGTACCCCAACAAATGAGTTGTAGTTTGTTTGCTTTTTAGGTTTGTTGTTTGTTCTGCTTTTTTTTTTTTTTCCAAACAGTATTGTTATGCAGCCCAGGCTGGCCTCAAACTTGTGACAACGCTCCTGCCTCAACCTCTCATGTCCTTGGAATATAGCCTACACCACTGAGCTCAGCTTCCAGCAAATAAATAAAATAAATGTTTTAGAAAAAGCGCACTATTGGGCCGGGGATTTAGCTCAGTGGTGCCGCCGCCTGCCTTGCAAGCACAAGGACCCGAGTTCAATCCCCGGTACCAAAAAAACCAAAGAAAGAAAGAAAAAGTGGACTATTAAGACATAGAAAGGGGCCGGGGATTTATCTCAGTGGTTCCACCACCTGCCTTGCAAGCACAGGTCCTGAGTTCAATCTCCGGTACCAAAAAAACCAAAAACAACACATAGAAAGTAGTGTTTGAAAACAGCATTGAAATAAGTTATAAATTTAAGTATATTAACCCTTTTAGAATTTATGGTGGCTTAAAATTAACAATAATCAAGTATCTGATTATAAAATCATATTCTGAAGTTTTAAAAGAAATTAATTCGGGGGTCCAGGGAATTAGCTCAGTGGTTCTGCCACCTGGTTCGCAAGTGCAAGGTCCCGAGTTCATGATCCCTAATACAAAAAAAAAAAAGAAATAATAATAATTCAGGGACCAGGGATTTAGCTCAGTGGTTCTGCTGCCTGCCTTGAAAGTGCAAGGTCCCAAGTTTGATCCCTGGTACCAAAAGAAAAAAATTAACTCAGCATGTAGTAAATAGTGTTTCATCTGGTGTACAACAAATATAGTGTTACTCGTTGTTTATATTTGTAAACAACCATCTTAAATAAACAAGACTATGGGTACCGAGCTGAGCATATATAATGGTAATTACTATGAAAGCAAAAAAAAAAAAGAAAAGAAAGAAAGAAAGAAAAAAAAGCAGACTATATACTATATACCCGACAAAAGAGAGATGGCCTTCAGGGGTCAATCCGGAAATGCACAGTCCATATTTTGGCACTATACCTTCTTCTCATACCACTCCATGCTAGAAAAATCCCATGCACAACAGATGTGGCATTAGAGCTGCCTGAGAATGTTCACTCCCTCAGGAAGACTTGATCATCCCTACTACCATGCCACCCTCCAAACTAATCCAAGGGCCTTTCTCTTTGCCAAGCCCAACTACTTACTTTCTCCACATTGCTCCAGAACTGCCTGACATCCTTGGCCATGGTGGAAGCAATTCGTCGCAACTTGGCCTGCTCTTCCCTGCGAGCCCGTTCCTCTTTCTGCCGCTGCTCCTCATGATGTCGGATCACCATGCGCACTACCTATGGGAATAGACTCAGTTTGAAAGCATTCAAAGCCAGACATTCCAACCCACCAAACCAAAGGCAAAGAAAGCAATCGAGGCCAATAAATCTGGGATGTTAGAACTGTGCTCTAAATGCTATAAGCATCAAAAATTACTATACTGCTCTGTGCAGTATATGACGAACCCCACTGGTGCGTCAACGAGAAGTCTTTTGAGAAGTAAATGAAGACAGACCTGAAAGAGGACATACCTTGCGGGCCACACCCCGTTTCCATCTGCGCTCTTGAGCGAAGTCAGCAGATAGCCACTGCATCTCCTCACACAGGTAGTCCCAGTGGCCTTTGGGGCGGGGAGGCTCCGGCACCTTAGGTAGCCTCTTCAAGGACCAGAAACCCTCTTTCCGCAGCTCAGCAATCCGAGTCTCAATCTCAGCTTCCTAAGAAAAGAGATCTAGGTCCATCAACAGATCCTCCACACACCTGCCATAGCTGAGCTCCTGAACACTGACTGGGCCGACTGTTTTTTACTCACATTTACTGCACATCCTGGTCCTACAAATGGGTGTTATATTCACTTCAGATTATAAGAAAAAAGATCAGGGAGATTAAGTGATTTGCCTGAGATCATACCACTAGGAAGAGCTAGGAATCAAAAACAGGACTAAAAACTGTAGGCATGAAAGGACGGAAGGGGGACCAGGGATTTGGCTCAGTGGTTCTGCTGCCTACCTCGCAATCACAAGGGGCCACATTCAACTCCCAGCACATAAAAAAAGGATGGAAGGGAAAAAAATAAAAGTGAAAATGGAAAAAATGGAAACAAAACTTTTGTACACAGGGAAGAGAGGGGGCTTGAGGGAGAATGAGATAAAATAAAAATTATATATATATATATATATATATATTTTTTAAAATAACTGCAAGCACATTGCACTCTTTCCACTATTTCATAATTTCCACATTCCATGGATATAGATGTGACTGGAGAAAATAA